ACAACTCCTTTGGGCGATTTTTCAAGAACAAGTTTCATTCCAAATCAATTGTAAGTCGATTTTTACTCAATTCTTTCAAACATTAACATCATTTAACATGTTTTCAACTTAAAATCAATGGTTTTCATGGGTGAAATTGGGGGTTTTGGGTAGAACCTAGGTTTTCTATAAATTGGGGATTTGGACATCAATTTGAGGTCCGATTTTAAAACAAATTGCGTATTTGAGTTCGCGGGGGAATGGGTAACCGGGTTTTGGTTCGAACTTCGGGTTTTGACCACGTGGGCGATTTTGGAATTTTTGGGGAAAAACTTGGCAAATTCATTTTTATGCATTCAAATTGATTCATTTAGTGTTTATTAAAGCAATTGAGCAATTTGTGACTAGATTCGAGCGGATTGGAGGTGGAATCACGGGGTAAAGCGATAGTTGAGGTTTGAGTGGAATTCAAGGCATCGAGGTAAGTGTAACCCTAGCTTGAGGGAATAGGAGTTGATTCTTATTTGGTACTTGCTAATTGTCGAGTACGATGTATAGGCATGGTGACGAGTATCTATACATTGGTGTCTAGCATGACCGTGAGTCCTTATTTTGCGAATAGTTTGGTTGTTGATATGCCTTTCATGCTTAATTAATGACTTCTATGTGTTGTAAAGACCTTGTGAAAGAAATTGTGATCTTGAAACTTCGTGGAGCATTGACTCGGGTTGAAATACAAATTTTGAAGGTTTATGAGATAAGTAACTCTTTGGAGCACTGGCTCAAGTGATAATGTGTACTATGAGATGAAAGGGAAAGAAAGAAAAGAGTTAACGATTTATTCCCTTGCTGGGATGTAGTTGGTTACTGATGTTGTACCCTTGCCGGGTCTTTAAATTGTTGTTGTGTGCCCTTGCCGGGACTTCTATTCTTGTTGTATTATTTTTTCTTGCCCTTGTTTGTGATTATTGATTGGGTAAGGAAGAGTGTTAAAGCACGAAGGGTGATGCCATGCATTGAATGATATATATATATATATATATATATATATATATATATATATAGGGATCGGGTTGCACGCCGCAACGATGATATTTATGGATCGGGTTGCACGCCGCAACAGTGTTGTTAAATGATTGGGATCGGGTTGCACGCCGCAACGATGATATTTATGGATCGGGTTGCACGCCGCAACAGTGTTGTTAAATATTGGGATCTGGTTGCACGCCGCAACGATGATATTTATGGATCGGGTTGCACGCCACAACAATGTTGTTAAATATTGGGATCGGGTTGCGCGCCGCAACAATCATTGATACTAGTGTGTATATTTTGGGTATTGGTTTCTTGTCCGCTGTAAATTCCAAGCTGCCCTTAGATTGTTATTCTGGATTTACTATTAATACCGTTATCTCCCCACAGCATGTTTCTCCCCCCCCCCCCCATATTGTTTACTTGTCTTGTATTTCGATTCCGCTGTATAATATATATATATATATATATATATATATATATATTATATAATTGTACAGGTTTATGTGGTAGTCCAGTCTAGCCTCGTCACTACTTCGCCGGCGTTAGGCTAGACACTTACCAGCACATGGGGTCGGTTGTGCTGATGCTACACTCTGTGCTATTTGCACAGGTCCAGGTTCGAGCAGCAGCAGCATTAGTACGGGAGCAAACCTTCAGTCCGTGAGACCCGAGGTAGCCTTGCAGGCGTCCGCAAGCCCGGCGTCTCCCTTATTCTCTCTTTTTTGCATGTTGCCTCACTGTATTCGAGACAAACAGCTTATGTTTTCTTTCAGACGTTTGTGTTTAGTATTTCTTAGCAGTTTGTGAGTATTGTGACACCAATCTTGGGTAGAGGATTGTATTGACTATTCCGCATGTTGATTCAGTTTCTATAATTAAGACTTCCGCTACTATTTAATTTCATTGTTTTTATATTGTTGCCAGGGATTGTTAAAAGGGATTATGTTGTAAATGGAAAGTAATTAAAATTTGACTTTCCTAGCTTCTACAAGTAGGCGTCATCACGACTCCCGAGGGTGGGAAATCCGGGTCGTAACAGTTTAAGCTAGCGTTTGACCATAGATTCCGAAATTTGTTTTAAGAAATATAATTGGAATGAAATTTGGTTTGAAGATGAAAATCCGTTTGGACATAATTTTTCAAAATATATTTCACTTTTGTTTTTGTAAAAATATGAAATGTGACTTATACCCATAAGTTTTAAAAATTATAAAAAATACCCAACAACTCTGAAGAAAATTCATAAAAAACAAGCGAAACAAATCTGAAGAAAATTTATACAAACATTAGCATATTTTAGCAGATTACCTTCAAATTCTGTCTTTGCGGTGAATTGCCACAGATTGACACAACAACTTTGGTGAATGTTTTCTTCTGTTTATAGAGAAGGGCAAAGCCGTGTGAGTTTAATAAGGGAAAAGTGGGTGGATATGCGTAATATGTGGCCATTTTTGGCCAATAATTATTAGCCTTGTTGGCTTCTTCATGGTCTTTCCTTAGTGACCTTGTTGGACATATTATGTCCTCTCATTCTAGGCCTTGTGGCCAATTGTATACCAAGCAACTCCAATTTCTTTGGCTATTAATTGAGCTGATTCTAGCTCATTCAAAACACACAACAAGACTTGAGTCTTCAATTCTTGTTTCTTCCTTTCCTCCTTTATTAAGAGTGTTTTGTATGAGAGTTAGTATTGGAAAGAACTTGTGCGAACCCTTTCTTTGGAGTGATCTTATGAGGTTATTCTCTTAGGGTATTTGGGATTAATTAGAGTGTTTACTCTAATTTTGTACTCTTGTTGGTATATGAAATTGCTCCTCTCCGCTTGTGGACGTAGGTCACACTGATCGAACCACGTTAGATCAATGTCTTCTTTATATGCTTTAATTGTCGTTGCTATTAACTTCCATTGTCTTTGTTATTGTCATTATAACATTGTTTGGCTAAACTCCGTACTATTCGAGTTCCCTATCCTAACAAATTGGTATCATAGCCGGATCTAACCGGGTTAGTTTCAATAGCCAAAATGACTCTAACAAAGTCCTATGTTGAGAAATTTGACCGAAATGCAAACTTTGGAATGTGGAAATTAAAAATGGAAGCTATCTTAATTCAGGATGGCTTAGACTTGGCGTTGCACGGAAATGAGAAGAAGCCGGATAAAATGACGGACGAGGAGTTTGCCGTCATATATAAAAAGGAAAAATCAGGTATCATCTTGAATCTCTCAAATGAGATTTTATGTGAAGTTTCTGTAGAAACAACAGCCAAAGGCATGTGGGAAAAATTGAAAACTTTATATATGAAGAGGACGGTAGAAAATAGATTTTACCTGAAGCAGAAGCTTTACACAATTCGTATGGGTAAATTAAAGGTACCTCTATTCTCTCTCATCTTGATACTTTTGATTCCATTCTTATGGATTTGAGTAATATAGATGCTGAAATTAAAGATGAGGATCAAGCCGTGTTACTACTTTGTTCTCTACCCCCATCTTTTAAGCATATGAGAGATACTATGATTTATGCAAAGGACAATATCCCTTATAAGGATATTAAATCTATCTTAAAATCAAAAGTACGGAGAGATAGTGATATTACTGGGGAAGCTAGTGGAACTCAAGCGGAAGTTGGCTTGTTTGTTAGGGGCAAATCCAACTCAAAATCCAGATACAATAATTTAGAGTGTCGCTATTGTCATAAGAAAGATCACATTATCTCTGAATGCTATAAGCTGAAAAATAAAGAAAAGCATAATGAAAGGAAAAATGAGCACAAAAATATTGACACTACCGAAGCTAGTGTAGCAACCGATGAGATTGATGGAACTATATTTTTAGCAACAAAAACTAGTTTCAGATCAAATAATGAGTGGATTTTAGATTCCGGTTGTTCATATGATATGTGTCCCAGCAGGGACTTGTTTTCTACATATGATTCAGTTGAAGGTGGAGTTGTCCAATTGGGGAACAATGTTACTTGTAACGTTATTGGCAAAGGTACAATTCGGATTAGATTGCACGATGGTGTGGTGAGAATTCTCACTGATGTTAGATATGTTCCTGAGTTGAAGAAAAATCTCATATCTTTGGGACCTTTAGAATCCATTGGGTGCAAATTCACCGGTGAATGTGGAGTTGTGATAATTTTTCAAGGTGCTCTTGTGATCATGAAAGCACACAGATCTGGTTCGTTGTATACTTTATTGGAATCCACTGTTGTAGACCCTACTACAGTTTCGATGTCAGACAACTTGTCTGATTTTGATGGCCTTAAATTTGACATATGCCTGTTGGGGCTTTTCCTGAGAAGGAGAAGCAAGTTTACTACATCAACCAAAACTAGTCCAAGGTGGAGATTTGTAACATATGCGGCCTATTTTTGGCCAATGATTATTAGCCTTGTTGAATTCTTCATGGCCTTTCCTTAGTGACCTTGTTGGACATTATGTCCTCTCATTCTAGGCCTTGTTGGCCAATTGTATACCAAGCAACTCCAATTCCTTTGGCTATAATTGAGTTGATTCTAGGTCATTCAAAACACACAACAAGAGTTGAGTCTTCATTTCTTGTTTCTTCCTTTCCTCCTTTATTAAGAGTGTTTTGTATGAGAGTTAGTGTTGGGAAGCACTTGTGTGAACCCTTTCTTTGGAGTGATCTTGTGAGGCTATTCTCTTAGGGTATTTGGGATTAATTAGAGTGTTTACTCTAATTTTGTACTCTTGTTAGTATAGTGAAATTGCTCCTCTCCGCTTGTGGACGTAGGTCACACTGACCGAACCACGTTAAAATGGGTGTCTTCTTCATATGCTTTAAGTGTCGTTGTTATCAACTTGCATTGTCTTTGTTATTGTCATTATAACATTGTTTGGCTAAATTTTGCACTACCCGAGTTCCCGATCCTAACAATATAGATTAGTTGGGTCAGAATAACAGAAAGTGAGCTTTTTTATAAAATACAAAAGTTTAGGGCAATCTTTCAATTTTGTTTAAAATCAAACGGTAATTAATATTTAGGGCCAAAAACAGCTCTTGAGCTGATTTGGGATTTAGACATTTGCCAAAGATGGATAATATCTATAAACATACAGGTATTATTTGCCAAAAGAAATTTGAAATTTTTTTAGCAAAATCTATCGCCAAACGGGCAGGGTCAGCATATGCATTCAGCCTTTGCTAAACCGAGTAAATTTGGGACATGAGAGATTATTAAAATGTTTCATGAATATCGACACGTAGAGTTAAATTGAACCCATCCTTAGGGCGTAAGTTGTCGACGTTCTTCAGACTAGTACTGTTAAAAAAACGTAAGCAAGAAAAAAGAGGAAAATGATACCAAGACCAAAGCAACAATCCAATTATCCAAAGAGGCATAGCAAAAGCAAAGAAAAGCACCTAAAGCTCAACGTAAAAATCATCAAATATTCCTTTGAAACATTTGAGGAAAAAAAGAAAAATTCTCTCCAAACATGCATTATTGTACCAAAATAGTATTATAAAGTACTCGTACACAACTCTGAAACTACGTACTCCAACTCTCTAGCTCACTGTTTTCCCACTCTTTCTTCTAATTTTCCTTTGTGTCAAAAAAATCAAAATGGGCATCTGTTTCACTAAAGATTTCTGGTTCAAAAGATGGCGTTCAATACCAATAACTTCTCAAAAACAACCAGAAAAACTTCCAAAGCCAGTGATCCCTTCTTTCAATACTATGCCAAGAACTAATAGTAGTAATATTGGACCAATTTTGGGCAAGCCTTACGTTGAAATTACAACCCTTTATGATCTTGACAAAGAACTTGGGCGAGGTCAATTTGGAATAACATATCTTTGTACTGATAAATCCACTGGATTAAAATATGCATGTAAATCTATATCCACAAAAAAACTTGTAACTCCAAAAGATATAGAAGATGTTAGAAGAGAAATTATGATAATGCAGTATTTGAGTGGACAGCCTAATATTGTTGAGTTCAAAGGTGCTTATGAGGACAAGAATAATCTACATTTGGTCATGGAGTTGTGTTGTGGTGGTGAGCTTTTCGACCGAATTACTGCAAAAGGAAATTATTCTGAGAAAGAAGCTGCAAATATTGGAAGGCAAATTGTGAATGTTGTTCATGTTTGTAATTTTATGGGAGTGATGCATAGAGATCTTAAACCTGAGAATTTCTTGATGGTTAGTAAGGCTGAGGATTCTCCATTAAAGGCCACGGATTTTGGTCTCTCTGTTTTTATTGAGGAAGGTTAGTTGCAATTTCCAAATATATAGTACTACCTCCGTTTCAGTTTATGTGAAACAGACTAATACGGAAAGTGTGTTATATAAATTGAAACGGAGCAAGTACTTTCTTTAAAAGTTAGAACCTACTTCTCCATCAATATTCTAATGTTAATTTCTTCTGCATTGAGTTTTGATGGTTTACTCAGGTTACTCCCTTTTCCGCAATTTTGAGGCGTGCATATGATCACGTCTACAACCATATTTGTTGATGCCATTTCATATATTATTACCTAGTTTGAACAATACGCTTTTTACTTACTACGTAGAGCTAAGTCTCTAGGGTTTAAGTTAAATATGCTGATAGTGTAAGGAATTTTTAACGCTATCAGTAATTTTAAGATGTGATAGCATGCTATACCATTTTTACCTAATAACCGACCTAATGGCGGAAATATCTTTTATACTGTCGGTGCGTAGAACTTAAACTCAAGTCATTATTCTAACAAGTCACTCCCAAGTTCATGATCATGGAAGTATCTTCAGTTTCAAATGCTTTCTCTGTTCTATCTATGGACTGCTAAATATGAATTATACTTTAGTGTAGCGTCAACTTTTTAGCTGTCTTGAAGTGGGAAGAAAAAAATTGCTTCATATATAATTACTTGCCAGTCTGCTGTAAATGATATATAGATAGACATAAAAGTGAGATTATTACTATCTTTTAGTTCCTACAATCAACTAAGATTTGAAGAATTATTTATTCTACAGGAAAAGTTTATAAGGATATTGTTGGAAGTGCATATTATGTGGCTCCTGAGGTGTTACGGTATAACTATGGGACGGAGATAGACATCTGGAGTGCTGGAGTCATTTTATACATTCTCTTGAGTGGTTTTCCTCCTTTCTCAGCTGGTAAGTAGATTTTTTGCCTAGAACTGTATCTTAGGTGTATGGTACATCTTAGTTTTTAGGCTAAACAAACTTGAAGACACTCTAAATATGGTGTTATATCGCCTGCTTCGACGATTTTCTCCAAAAGACCTAGCACTATTAAGAGTATTTTCTTATCAGCTTCCAATATGGAAATTTGCTCACACATACAACATTAGCTGATCAGCAATTTGTGTTTACAATTCTCTTGTATATCAGAGACTGAAGAAGGAATATTTGAAGAGATACTTAAAGGTCACCTGGATCTTGAAAGCTCTCCCTGGCCTTCTATATCTGCCTCAGCGAAGGATCTTGTCAAGAAAATGTTGACAGTGGATCCTAAGAGAAGGATCACTGCAGATCAAGCCCTCGGTAAGTGGACATACAAATGTTAGCTTCTGTCGATAAATCTTCAAAGTTGTAATCCGTATATTATCAGATGCAAGATGAACCATATTCTCGTGTGGCATCTCTCACTGATGCTCCTGTCATAAAAGATTTATATATAGACACATATTTCAAATTTGTCCCATTTTAGATTATTGTACAAATTTTTTAAGTCGCAATAAAATTTGAATCTTGATACATGAACTAGAACATCCATGGCTGAAGAAAGATGGTGAGGCATCGGACAAGCCTATCAATAGTGCTGTTTTGGTCAGGATGAAGCAATTCAGAGCAATGAACAAGATGAAAAAACTTGCTCTTAAGGTAATAACCACTTGGCTTAACATGTCATCGGGATATTGTCAATAAGACTTCTGCTCACATGCATATTATATAGTTTCATGTTAGAAAAGCGATGAGATACATAGTATGTCCATTCATTAGTTTCTTACTCCTTTCCCCCTCTCTGATGCTATAGTATCTACTGCTTAAAGGTTATTGCAGAGAATTTATCAGAAGAAGAAATCAAGGGACTTAAGCAAATGTTCAGCAACATAGATACTGATGGAAGTGGTACAATTACATATGAAGAGCTTAAAACTGGATTATCTAGGCTAGGATCCAAGCTCACTGAAGCTGAAATAAAGCAACTGATGGAAGCAGTAAGATTGTGCAATCTTTTGATTTTCCTAAGATCAAATTTTATATGCAGTCAAAGTTAAAACAAAAGCCTGCTTCATATAACAAAGTTAAGTTTTTCCTTCAAATTTTATTCCTCTTTCAGGCTGATGTTGACAAAAGTGGGAGTATAGATTACATCGAGTTCATTACTGCTACCACGCATCGACACAGACTTGAAAGAGAAGAAAACTTGTTCAAGGCTTTTCTGTATTTTGACAAGGATTGTAGTGGGTATGTATTCCCTATTTTGTTGCAAATATGTTTTTTCAAAGTTATACTTGATATTTAACCGGCATCATACTGCTTCTTTTGAAATCAACAGATTTATTACAAGAGATGAGCTCAGACATGCTATGACCGAGTATGGAATGGGGGATGAAGCTACAATCGATGAAATTCTTGATGACGTTGATACAGATAAAGTTCGTGTTTTCTCATAAGCTATATCTCACATTCTAATTTCTTTTCTGAGGTATCTGTTATATATGTGGTTTGCTTTAACTATGCAGGATGGGAAAATTAACTATGATGAGTTTGTTGCTATGATGAAAAGAGGTACAGTTGATGGTGAAGGAAATCATTGATAGATTAACCATTATGCTCTTGCCTTCATTTCTTGCAAATGTGGATCAACTTGAGTGTAAAATGGCTAGCATTCTCTATCAATAAGATCTTTCAGTAGTTGAATTTGGGTTGTTTAATTTGCTCAAGCTGACCTTGTTTATAGTAACTGCATTTGTACTATACCAAGAATAAGATCCTTTTAGAATGAAGTGCACCTTACCTCATTCTTTGGAGTGGAGAATAATTTTTCAATTGGTTTCTATATGTAATAAAAGCTTGCTAGTTATTGTTGCCAAAATGGATTAAAGGAAACTTACCTAGTAGTAGGGCAAGGGCAGCTCGGTGCACAAAGTTTCTGCTATGCACGAGGTCCAGGTCAGGGCTAAACCACAAGGGTCTATTGTACGCAGCCTTACCCTGCATTTCTGCAAGAGGTTATTTCCACAACTCGAACTCATGACCTCCTAGTCACATGGCAACAACTTTACCAATTAAGCCAAGGCTCCCACTATGCACGGGAATAGTAGGGAAAGGAGCCCGGTGCACAAAGCTCCCGCTGTGCACGGGATCCGGAGAAGGGCCGAACCACAAGGGTCTGTTATACGCAGCCTTATCTTGCATTTCTGCAAGAGCCTATTGGCTCGAACCCTTGACCTCCTGGTCACATGACAACTTTACCATTTGCGCCAAGTAACTGGACAAGCGCAGCCCGGTGCATAAAGCTCCCTCTATGCACGGGGTACGAGGAAGGGCTGGATCACAAGGGTCTACTGTACATAGTCTTACCGTGCATTTCAGCCAGAGGCTATTTCCACACGGCTCAAACTCATGAACTCACGTGGCAGCAACTTTACCGCTTACGTCAAGGTTCCTCTTTTTACCTAGTAGTAGTATAATTTTATTGTTTTCCGTCTCAATTGTGAAACACACAAACCTCTTAAATTCCAAGCTATATAAAGAACTATGTAACTCCACGAACTTATGATTATATCCTCAAAAAGACATACAGTAAAAGATTCAGGAGATTTGAATAGAAACAAGTTAACTACTATTACACATGATAAAGAGGCTAACTACAATTAGTTAACAGTAACTTTGCCAACCATTCCAGCTCCCTGGTGAGGTGAACAGTAAAAACTGTAGGTTCCTTTCTCACTCAAAGTGACAGAGTAAGTCTCCCCTGGTGCATTGAGAAGGTCCTCTTCAGACATTGAAATCTTAGAAGCATCAACACCAGCTGGAATTTCATCTTCATCAAATACAACGTTGTGTGGGAACCCTGCATTATTCTTGAATGTAATTTTCTCACCGGCGCTAACGCTGAAGTTTCCAGGAACAAAAGCAAGACTGCCATCATCGCCACCAAGCAATACTTCAATAGCTAAGGCATTACTAGCTAGTATTGCACTTGCAGCTGTAGCAACAATAACTGCACCTACATCTTTTAGTGAAGCCTTTACTACCATTTTTGATGTTTGGTTGGTGGACACCATTTTGGCTACATTGCTAATTTTGGAAGATGTACCGGATTTAAGGCCAGTGAAAGATGGGATAGTAACTGCAGCAGAGGTTACACTGGCCATTGTCTTGCTTTTGACTATTCTTGTTACTTCTCTAACTGGATAAGTGAAAAGTTGGGATCAAGAAAGATAAGGAGAGATGATGAGGTTATATTATGTGTTTGATTGAGATGGAATATGGATTTTCTTGATTTGTGGTGTGTGTTTGTGGTGAGATGATGAGTTGTTATCTGGTGGGAAGGAATGCTATTGGTAGAGATGGATTATATCTTCTGACGTGGAAATGGATGTATCTCAATTTGTTATCTGAGATGAAAATTAGAAGAGTATTGGGCTGCCGAAATAGAATTTCTAGGAGGACTAGATTTTGCATTAGTTGGCTTTTCAGGTTCCTCCCAGGATGGGGTTTTATTAAGATGAATTAATCTAATAAATGGCCACCTACCTAACCGTTTAAATAAAAAATAGTCTACGATACATAATATATGTATATTTCATGTATAAATGTGTGTATAGCCATGTATAATAAGTGATAATTTATATATATGAGCATAAAAAGTAAAAAGTAAATTCGGTTGAATATTTAAGTAAAGATCTCTAGTCCGTAATCATGGTCTTTTTTGAGTTTATAGAAGTAATAAGAGTTTAGGTTGGTTGGTGTATATAACTTAAACTTTATAGGCTATCATGATAGATCTTGATTTCTGTCTTCGACTTATATCTAAAATTGAATAATTTATTACAATATTTGTACTATGTTCACGCCTACTGTGACAATCCATACGATATTTTGCGAATGACGACAAGGAATACTTTGTCCATTTTCCTTTTCTTATCTCTAATGTGTGGCATTGATATGAGAGACTGTGTAAAGAGGGTGGAATATTTCCAGCCAAACACTTGGAAGATAACAAGATTTTCTAGCATAAGCAAGTTTTTTCCACAGATAGTAGATAAATTCAAGTTACCTTAGTTCTTACGTTGATACTCCATCATTGTAATTCTATAAAGAATTGCAAACGAAAAAAGTTATCTAAGCTAAAAGACATAAGGAAATGAATGTGAATAAGCAAATATAATTTCATATATGGTTCCCCTGCATGAAGTGAGGACTGATCGAACATACCTTTGTCAATTTTTCATGTCTGGAATTGATGTTCCATTCCATAATTCTGGCTTGCTAATGAATACGGCAATGTCACCCTAACAGTGCCCTCCCACCGATCACGACATCCCCGTTGAGAGTAAAACATGTTCGGAACCTCGGGCTTCGGCGATTCTTTTTTCATCTATCTAATCTTGGTGGATAGAATTACTTGATACCTATGATGATGAAAGGTAGCACGTAGTACTCAATAAAATAGTCCATGTGTGCATAAATTTGCTCGAACACGATCATTTTAAAACAAAGAGGCATAAGTGTCCCCTCTGGATCCAAAGAGCAATTCACATGGATATAGGAATTGATAAACAAGAAAATTTGACAAACAAAAAGTACATTATATTATACTAAAATCCTTGAGGGAACTCCTTGACGATGATGGTACTTCCATTTTATACTAGTCTATTTTGGGTTCTTGAGGGTACTCGGATGTACTACCCTTACTATATTGACTATGCTGTACTACAACTGTACTATTTACCTTTATTCTACTGCATTGTTTCTACCTTAATCTATATGACTAATGTGCAAAAGATAAGGTGAGGAGAGAAAGAAAAGGCAACCGTTGATGACAGTAGCTACTAAGATTGATTTGCTTGGAGGAAGGCAATGTTAAGTTCTGGATTAGAAAAAATTGACTCCAAAACAAGCTTGTTTAGTCTTCTAATTAGACTTAAAAAAGCTCGTAGCATATAGCAATATCTAAGCGAAAATTTTATGAAATATTTATTATGATTGTATACGACGGACGATACAGAAAGTTTCAACATTAAAAAATTTCTTGAAGGAAATAACACTTGCTCCTCCCCTAAGGAAGAATTGTTTATTTCCTTCATTTCGAATGTTAAGAATAGCCTGAGCCCTGAGAGAATTGGTTGGGGAAGCAAACTAAATGCTGTCTTACTCACAAATGAAAGACTTATCATTAAACCATGCTACACCATCCACCGCTATTAGTTCTAACTAGTATTAGTACCCGCGCCGATGCGCGGACACTAATCATGTCAAATATTTAATTTATTTGGATTGTATGTAAATAATCTTAAAATTTACACTTCCTCAGTAAATATAGATAATCAATAGATATTAACTACATGAAAAAAATTAACCATTTCTTCTATTTTTCTTTTTTGATACCATTCTTGCCGTCGTCATTGGATTCTAAAAATAGTCCGGGAGCAAAATAATAACTCATATTTATGGCAAAACAATCAAGTGTTGAGACAATGAATGACACTTTGGATAAGACTAACTCTTTATACTGTGTGTTGTTCTTAAAATTTCAGTTTCTAAAATATTATTTTTCAATAATAATTATTTTTAGGCGAAATAGATAAACGACCCCGTCAAGTTGTCCTCAACGATCAGCTGAACACCTCAATTGAGCCTATTTTCAATTAGACACTTCAAGTGGCAATTAAGTAGGTCAAGTAAATACCTGAGTACAGCAGACCATATGCGTGAAATGCACTTGCCAATGACATGTCAAATGTACCAATCAAAAAATAACACGTGTAATTTTGCCATAAAAATTTGACACATGTAATTAACAAAAAATATACATTTAAAGAAACTTCTTTATCATCTCCTCTTTCATTTTACATAGCAGCCGCCGGCTCCTCCATTTCTGCCGCATCGCCACCAATCGCCGCCTTCGGAGCAATAAATTCTTTTCGCAAAATGGCATGCCATTGGTGTCTGAATATGACGATAAAGAAGAGCAGAAGAAGAAACTCCATTTTTTTGATGAGAGAGAGTAAGAAGAACCAGATGGGTAAAAAATTCCCGGCAGCCTTCATTTTTTCTGTCGAAATTGGTTGTTGTGTCTGATAATTGGATGGATATTTTTTCCGTCGAATTGTTTTTTGTTCACCTACTTCTTTATTCTTCAATTATCTCATCTAACCTCTCTCTTTTCTTTTTGTCGTTTTTTATTTTTGTGGTTGAAGAGGTTTAGGGTATGGATAACTGGATTAGGGGGAAAAAGACACAACAAGAATCGAACATTATACTTATACAATAAACAACATTGTCATTTTAGTATTCAGAGGGATAGTGTAAAATTTTATTTGTTTGGAAGTTTATGTTCCGCATTTCAGATTGGTTGTAATGGAGGAATTTAGGGTTGAGGAGGGTGTTGAATGGTGGAGGAGAAGGGGGTATGAAAATTAGGTGGGGTCCACATTATTTTAGTAAAAAATAAAAGAAAAAACCTAATTTTAGGTTGGCAACTCGCGTCCCAGAGAGTGAATTTCACGCAATGGAGGCTGACATGGTCGGTGTTTAGTTGATCTTCTGTTGTGAATAAATAAAGTGTCTAATTGAAAATAGGCTCAGTTGAGGTGTTCAGCTGGTCGTTGAGGACAACTTGAAGGAGCCGTTGTAACGACCCAAAGGGTCATCACCTGTTTCCTCATTCGTTCCGTGCTTCCGAGGCCTTGAAAACCTTATTTTTACTTGCCTCAATTTGCGTGCGCAGTCCGAGCGCGTAACCGGAAAGTTTTTATGTTGAAATATGTGAATTCTGTAAAAAATTTAAAGAATTTTGATATTAATATGATTAAAGTTGACTTCGGTCAATATTTTTGGTAAACGGACCCGGACCCGAGATTGGACAGTCCTGGAAGGTCCGTAGAAAAATATGGGACTCGGGCATGTGCCCGGAGTCGAATTCCGAGGTCTAGAGCCCGAGAAATAAATTTTTCTGTGAAATTGTTTTTATGAAATTATTAAGGAAATTGGAAATGAAAATTGATTAAAAGACTGTGGTATCGGGCTCGTATTTTGGTTCCGACACCCGGTACAAGTCTTAAATATGTGTTAAGCGCTTTCTGTAAAGTTTGGTCGAAATCGGACGTCGTTTGACCTGTTTCGGACCTAAATATCCAAAGTTGGAAGTTTATGAAGTTATAATGAAAAATAATGAATTTGGGGCTTGATTCATTGATATTGATGTTGTTTTGGCGATTTGATCGCTCGAGTAAGTTCGTAAGATGTGATTGAGTTAGTGTGTGTGATTGGTTAGGAGCCCCGAGGGCTCGGGAGTGCTTTCGGAGGTGTTTCGGGATGTTTTGACTTAGGAAAAACATAGCAGAAAATTCTGCAATTTTTGCTCAGTGATTTCCTCTTACGCGATCGCAATCTTCAGCCCACGATCGCGTTTCTTTGGCTCTTTACTCTTTCGCGTTCGCGTACTTGATCACGCGATCGCACTGCCTTAGCATTTCCTTCAATGCGTTCGCACCAGTAGGTTTGCATTCGCACAGACCAAGCTTTGGACCCCCCCCCCCCCAGTATTCCCCTACGCGATCGCATTACAACCCACGCGATCGCGTTGACCAATCTGTGTAACCCTTCGCGATCGCATCCCTATATCCGCAATCGTGTAGGGCAAATTCGCCCAGTTATTTTAAAGCCTAAAAACAGAACCAGTGACGGGAAAAACATAACAGTTCACGAACTCTTCCTTCTCCAAAGTCCTAGGGCGAATTTTAGAGCACTTCTTCATCAAAAACTTCGTGGGTAAGCATTGTTTAACTTGTTTTCTTCAATTTCCATCATGAATTACTGAAATCCTAGCCCTAAATCATGAAATCAAAGTAGAAATTATGGGTTTTGGGTAGAGTTAGGGTTTTGAGAATTTTGGGTGATTCAACCTCAATAATGGGTCGAATCTTAAAACAAATTATATATTTGGACTCGTGGGGTTATGGGTGATCGGATTTTGGTCCGAGCCTCGAGTTGGGACCATGTGGGCCCGGTGTCTAATTTTGGTATTTTTGGAAGAATGCTAGAAAATTCATATCTAGGCTATGGGATGTTGCCATTGAGTCTTTATTGATATTATTGAATTAATCATGCCTAGATATCACTGTTTCGGAGTCGGATTGTAGAGGAAAGGCGATCTTTGAAGGTTGATTGCTATTCTTGGGACCGAGGTAAGTGTTTGGTTTAACCCTAGCTTGAGGGAATAGGAGTTGAGTCTTGTTGCTAATTGCTATGTGATCGAGTACGATGTATAGGCATGGTGACGAGTATCTATACATTGGTGTCTAGCATGACCGTGAG